GATGATCAATAAATCGTGCGCATAAGTCCTAATGTGGAATGGTGTTGGGTACTTGCTTGGAAGGGTGATACCATACTACCAAAAACTGAAGTAATGAGAGAAGCGGTGATACACAACTATGGGCTGTGGTAAAGGATCATGCCTTAACTGGAATTGGAAGCACTTCTGGCATCGGTGGAATGACTATAAAAGGCTACTCGGCGTAAAGCATGTAACCTACTCTTGTACGTCTAAAGGTACCAATTCGGGCTCTAGTCACACCTATATAGAAGTTTATGACGAAAAAAGAGTTAGGATTTACTAACATTAATGCAACATCAACTAGAAATAGCTAGCTGGAAGTGATTTAGCTTGCTACTTAAGTAATTTCGTGATGTTAGGCCGGTCTTTAACAAGATAGGTCATTAAAGCAGAATTACAAAAATAGCCAATGGCTGGGAGTGTGTAGCCTTGTCTGTGGGGTTTGGGAGCTTAACCAATAAGCTATAGGACCCAAACCACATTAATTTCCCTATTTATAATTACGTTAATATAGCAATCACTATTATATATTTTTTTAAAAACTATTTTAATAATTATATACAAATTTCTCTGATTATAATCACAAATAAAAAACAATACCAGTACGATCATATGAAATATGTGAGAGATGGTTCCGTTCAACTTTTTGGTGAGCTATATTTTTTCCTATTTTAGAAAGTGTTATGGTTATCGTGTTTTGCTTATTTAAGCATCCAAGTTTAGAAAAGGCTCTTAGTATTTGGGTTAACCAAGTAATAGTATCAGAGTTATCAGTTTCAGAAGCTTTAATTTCTGAAAAGGCTCATTATTTTGCGACGATTATGGGTATATCTGAAGAAAATATGAAATTTTCTAACGGTTGGTTAAATGGATTCAAACAAAAAAATAATTTAAAGGTGCATAAAATACACGGAGAGGCCAATGATACGCCACTTGAATTATTACCAAATATGCGAGCCGAATTAAAAACTTTAATTGCAAAGTATCGACCTGAAGATATATTTAACACTGATGAGACAGGTTTATTTTTTAGAATAGAATCTAATCAAACCTTATCATCTGGCCCCGTCACTAGAAAAAAAAGGTGATAAAAGTTTCGCTAATAATTTTATAATAGGATGATTTTAACACTTATAAAGAGGTGAAATTCACCAGGCATGCCATTTTTTACAAATGGCTTTATCGATTAGTATTTGGAATTAGGTCAGTATCCTAAAAACCTTTAACCTAATTCCTAATTCTAATCTTGAAGCTAAGAATAATAATAATACTGGTGAATTTCATTTTGATGATTTCTAAATAAATTTGCCAAGTTCATATTTAACATTAATTTTTTTAGGATAAAAATCGGCTAACAGTAATATTAACAGTGAATTCTACAGGTACAGAAAAACTCAAGTCTCTTGTCATCGGTAAATCTAGTAACCCACGTTGCTTTAAAAAGGTTAAGAATCGTGCTGCATTACCTGTAATATATAAAGATAACGAAAAGGCATGGATGAAGTATGACATTTTTAAAAAATGGGTAAAAGATCTAAACTATAAATTTCGAGTCGAAGATAGAAGAGTCTTATTACTAGTTGATAATGCGGCATCCTATTTTAAGCGACGTGAAAAAAAGAAAAAGAACAAAACTAATAGCCATATAAGTTATCTTAGATTATTTATTTTTTATCTTTATATTTTTTTTTTTTTTAAAAAAAAAAACTTTATTAAATAAGATCTTTTATGACCGACAAAAAGAGCGATGCAACTGACAATAAGAATTCTAAGCGTGGTCGTAGACGTGGTTGTGGTCGTGGACGTGGACATATTCGTGGTTGTAGTCATGAACCTAATGAATATAGCTCTAGCAATAGTAAAACTGATGATACGGATATTAGTTATAGTGAAACAGATAATATGAACATTGGCGATAGTAGTTATAAGTATAGTATTTCTTATGATGTTATAATAATCGATAGCATATCTTTATTGTTATTTATACTTTTC